CATTCTCAAAAATCGTTCCCTAACTTATCATTTTTCACATAATTTTCATCATATTGATCTTAGACAATCCGCACAAGAATTTACACACATGGAATCCCCATTCATATCCATATTTGCCTACAATAATAAGATCATCTCCAAAATATTTTAAATTTGGTCAAAAAATGTATATTGTAGTAGCTTTTGAATTTAGAATCTAAAATCTACTATTTCAACCTATCAAATATATGAATTAATTTATTACTTTATAATGCTAAACTTAATTCATGTGCGCAAATAGTATCAAGTTTTACATGGATACGAATTAATTAATCTAAACATGTAACATATCCACAGCTTATAAATTAACACGTGATTGCAAATATATTTGTTGGCAAGGCTACTTAACTCATATAAATACACAATAAACAAGAAAATCTTTTGACATTTAAAAAAAAATTCAATCTTTTCTTTTATATAATAAAGAAGTAGAATTACACAATCACACAAGAACAATAAAACTAAAAACTAAATTTTTTTTCACCCTCAAACTTAAAAGAGACATTGTTCTCAATGTCTTAAAATATAATGTAACACATAAAGGCACGGGAAAGAAGGAAGGATGTGCTCCCCAGATTTTTTGTCTAATATTTAAGGTGGCTTATTAGATTAGTTCATGCCATTCTCTACTAAGCTATCTTTTGCCTGATATCTATGTATCTTTGAGAGAGAGAGAGAGAGAGAGAGAGAGAGAGAGAGAGAAATATGAGAATTAAGAGTAATTTACAGGTGATAAAGTAGCGTGTAGGATAACCATTGATTTTACGTACTTGAAACTTTGAAAAATGTGCCACTTATATTTTCTACTATTTTTCACTCAAATATATGATTTTCTTTTAATATGCTGAACATAGATATGATGACCCTCTTATTAAAACGGAAATATGCCTAAAATTAATGTACCTTAATAAACTATATGCAATGCAAATACAAAAATTATAATAAATAAAAAGGTAAAAAAAATTGGGTTGCTTGCTAATAAGCAATTAATATAATCTTTAGCTACACTTTTACACAAATGCTTCATAGCAATTTGAATATGACTTTGGAGGTCCTACTAAGCTTGTTTAATTTGACTATGTTTCATATTTCACACGTCCTCCAAAATCATATTTCACCCTTTTGAATACAGTATGACTTGTCAAAATTGTCCAATTCGGACTCAATTAAGAGTGCTTCAATTTTCTCATCGACTATAGTCACAAAATCAATAAAGTTGGAAGTTTGCATGCTAATCTCATATATTTGTTTATTTGGGCCACATGTGATCCTACTCCTAGCTAGGAATCTCATGTGGCCATCCATGTCAATGTGAGTGGGCCATTACTTGTTGGACGTTTAATTAAAAAAATAATTTTAGTCTACGCATGGGAATGTTATAGATTCAATTTAAAAGTAGTCAAGATAGAGGTTAGTAGCTGCAAATCCAACTTTCTAAAATAATGCAATCAAAAAGTAATGGTGGGCAACAACTGGTTTTCCTCATAACCAAACAAATTGAAATTCGAAATTTTATATCTAGAACCAACTATTTCCATGTGCAAGGAAATAATCGAACTAGACCAAAACCCATCAAACTGGTATAGTGTTCCCATTTATAGAAATAAGGCAAATGCTGAGCATCATGGTGGAATCATATACTACGCATGCTAACAGAAACATATTGCCAATGGAAGATGCAATCAGCCACATTAATTGATTGAAATGTGTTTGGACATTGTTACTTAGTTTTATTATATAATTACGTTAATGCCAATAAGAGAGTTGCTTAGTCATATCTTGTCTGCCTGCCTGCCTGCATTGATTAGGATTAAGGATTAGACATAATGATTGGATTGAATAACTAACGCCGTAGGATTTCTCGAGGCTTAGTACACAGCACTTTTTGTTCAGCCCTGACTAGAAGGACTCAAGGAAGGCTAAAGCCTCTTTGACAACCCCTGGATCCAGGAATAACTCCTAGAAGGAATAATGTTGGTGCATAACGAAGGGGTTCCCATAGAATCCGTCAAAAATACTCACATGGAGTCCTCATGTGACAAAAAAAAAAAAACTCACCCACCCCTTGTATTGTGTGTATTCTATAGAGGGTTATGTGAATCCCTTCCTTGTACATCAAGCAAAACTCTGACTAGAATCATGTTCTAGCAGATCCCGATTTTGAGGTGACCTAGCGACTTAGTACATGTTTATTTTATTGAATTATATCATGCCCCTCAATTTTTGTTCCTTCCCAGCACAACTCTTCCCGTTTGATTCTCATTTTTTTAAGAATGAAAATGAAAAATATAATCATTATTGAATTCATACAAGCGATAGAAAATCAAATATAGTGATTTAATTTGATGGATAATAGTCATATTTTTTTATTTTTGTGACCAAATAATGGGAATCAAACAGGGCTATACTTTTGCTCAAGTGTCGGCTGTAAAGTTTGAAATGGTTCGACTTTAGAGCTGGGCAGGCGTAGTTTGTCTCATTTTGACACTGTAACTCCCACAAACACCCAAAAAAAAAAAGAAGGATATGTATATTATTTATTTATTTATTTATTATTTTTTGCCTCTCGGAGCATAACTCAGTGGTGCAAAT